TCTATCTATTATCTATCTATCTAATTTCCTCTTTTCTGGACAACTCTGGATATCTTTAATATCATGCTATATAAGCAAATAAAATATAATCTTGGAACATTTTTTTTGCCTTATTTTTAGGCCAGAAAATCAGTTCACCGAGAGTATACTGGAGTTATTCTAGGATGGTATATTTAGAGTGAAAGGTTCTAGAGTTCTGGGGATTTTGCTGCACCTTAATTAGTATCCTATTGGGGACAAAAGGTGGGGATGGATTAGCGTCCTTTAATACCTTATACTTGAGGACCTAGCTGTGTGTACACATGAAAGCATCAAAACCAGCAAGCACGTTTATAATCTCTTACCCCTAACCATGACTAAACTTAGAATCTGTTCCTTGAGTTAGATTTGGAAATGTACTGAGGGACTCCCAGTACTTGCAATGGCAACTCAACAGAAAACTTTGTAATCTTTCTACCCTATGTCTCTCCCATTGCCACATATTATATTGTTCACTGCAGACCAGTGTTATCTAAAAATACTTTGGAGAGAAATGTCCCATGACACGTTTCACCAAAAATGGAAGCATAGAGCGTACTATTCCCGGTAGGTATTCCTAAGTTAAAATAGCATTTTAAAGACTGAAATATTTTTATTTTTATATATTTTTTTTAAAGATTTTATTATTCATGAGAGACACACAGAGAGCGAGCGAGAGAGGCAGAGGGAGAAGCAGGCTCAGTGCAGGGAGCCTGATGTAGGACTTGATCCTGGGACTCCAGGATCACGCCCAGGGCTAAAGGCAGGCGCCAAACCGCTGAGCCACCCAGGGATCCCTGAAATATTTTTAATTATAAAAATACATAATCCAACACAAGCATGTGCATAACATTTAAATTTGATCCTTAGGTTTCCCAAAATTTGTTTCACCAGGAATTATTATTATCACTTTCTCATTTCTACCTGCTGCTGTGCAAAATTATTTTGTGTGTCTTTATTCATTCAGGTTGGTCTCAGTCCCTCCGTGTAACCTGACCAGTTGTCTTCTCTTCACTCTTCATTGCTCTCTAAGCTAACTAGATGCTGACTGGGAACTTTTAAAGCCCTGTATATAATAACCAGATAATTATATTTATTTATCCTGTTATGAAGTTTATAACTAATGGTGTTCATGAACTTGCTACCATTCTTTTGCTTTATTTGCGTATTCATTTTAATACTTTGAGGATCCATATACTTAGAAAACTTCACCTTTTTTCCTTTAAACTTGAAGCCTATACTCCATTTCTTATAAGGTATTATGTTAAACCTCTTAAACAGTTTGATATTTAATAATTTAAAACTTAGCTAATATCAATGTGTATGTGTGTGTGTGTGTGTGTGTGTGTGTGAGAGAGAGAGAGAGAGAGAGAGAGAGAGAGAGAGAGAGAGAGAATAATCTTCCAAGAAAGAAACAGGAACATGCCATTTTTCTCCTCTTATAACACCCATGGCTTGTGAATGCTGTATTTCATTACTAAATCATGGAAAATGAAGTCTTTACAATTTCACCTCTAATAATATGCCTAGTTTATCTGTGATACCTTTGAAAAGATTTCTCTTAGGCTGTACTTTTTTTTCAGCAGCAGACTTCTCCCTGGTTCTTTTTTCTTTCATAGTTCGCTCTTTTCAATTTTGAATTCTGCTTGCTTATGCAAAGTGACAACCTATTGGCCGGAAATTTGGGAAAATTAAATTAATTTTACTATAATTTTAACTTAGACACTTCCATATTTAAGAGGGATATTTAATATTGAATACTTTATGAACACTTGGGAATTCTGATGAACTCATTTTTGTAGATATCTTGGAAGGATTTGCTTATATTACAGCTGATCTTGAAGAAATGCATCATTTATTTTGTAGGCTTTTTGTCACAGCAGGGTCTCTGAGCACGTTTTCAGTTTCATAGGCTTTGTTGTTCATAATCAGATGTTCTGATTGTATATGATTTTCCTTAAGCCTCTGCAATATCATATTGGTGAATATCTTCAACTCAGAAATTTGTCATTAAATCACAGGTTCCCCCCCACTTAATTGTACTGCTCATTCTAAAATAGTTATTAATAGAGTTTCTCTATCAAAGCCTGAAGTATATTTTCCTGTTTTAATGAGTTTTTATTTCCATAGAGATAAATAAATTTGTACATATTTAAGCCACAAAGAGAGTTGTTTGTGAATAGAGTACTACCCTTTGACTGACTAGACTGTTTTGATTTGTAACTTAAATTTAAGTCACAGAGGTCAGTGTTAATTACTATCAGATTTTTCTTCCTTGAACCTTTGGTTTTCATTTTTGTTGTTAGGGTTTATTCTCAAAGATTAATTCTAATTCTATTCTACTATTTTACTAAAGAAATTACATTAGTAAATTTGGGTGTTTTAATCTTAATTGTAAATCATTTTTTAGAATCAATTTTTTAGCACACCTTATTATTTTTTAACTATGGTTTTGAAATAACCAAATATAGATTTCTAGAAAAATCCAATAAAATATATCAAACAGGAATATACATTTCTATTGGTTTTGTGTCTCATTAAGGAAATTACATATTGTATAACTATAATATAGTTATATATTATATATATATACTATATAATATATTGTGTGTATATATCATAGTCATGGTAATTGGATATAGGAATATTTGTAAAAATAGTTTATAGTATTTATATTATTTCACAGTACTTTAAGTATTAGTGAAGTTTAGATAAAGTTATAAGAGTGGGCAATTGGGAAGGCAAATGACATTGAAATGAGCATTAACAAATTGAAGACCATGAAACAATCAGATCATTCAAATATCTTTTTCCTAAAGGACTGTCAATCATAAATATGAAAACATGGGTTAGTAAAAAAAGTCCTTTCAATAAATAAAAGCTTTAAATATTATCTTTGGTCTTAGCACTATAAAAGTCTTCTCCAATACTTGTTTTTTTTTTTTTTAATATTCTGGCACCATTAAAAATGGTGATATTGTTTATCCATTTTCAGTTGCACAGAAATTCAAATAATATTGGTTCTCTGATGTCCATCCAAGTCTTGTAAAGTTAAATCTAGTAACACTGAGTATTTAGATTCATGGTTACTGTTTTAGCAACCTCTCTTCTTTAAATATTTATTGCTACATTCGTTTTCACTAAACCAGAAGATAATACTCATAAAAAATTTTTTATGGATTTTAGAAAAAAACTATAATTAAAATCATCAATAGTTTCACTACATGTCAGGTAGTCAATACTGGGGAAGAATTATATCAAAATATATTTCTCATGTTATAACTAATTAGGCTGAGCACTTCAACAAATTAAAGGTGATATATATCTGCCAACCCACAATCTTATCTTTCTCATTCACGATTAGAAGTGTAATTAGTGATATTTTTATTTTTGGTAAACACAAATGTATAACTATTTCATATATATGTGACATATATATGCAAAACTATTCTATGAGTACACATGGAAAGAATTCTCACTTATACTCATTAAACAATGCATTTCATTTTTCTGGACTGTATAAGAGCATATTATATTTAAATATTTTTTTAAAAAATCTAGCATATGAAGATAGCATATCAAAAGACATATTGTCCTAAAGCATCATATTTCATTTTGTATAAAGGATACCATCCTAAATAGTTCAGTGTTTCTTAGAAATCATTTTTATGTTTGTGTAGTTCTAAGGCTGCTTCTGATCTGATGCACACAAGCATATTTTTATTTTATTTTTATTTTTTTAATATTTATTTATGATAGTCACAGAGAGAGAGAGAGAGAGAGAGAGAGAGAGGAGGCAGAGACATAGGCAGAGGGAGAAGCAGGCTCCATGCACCGGGAGCCCGACGTGGGATTCGATCCCGGGTCTCCAGGATCGCGCCCTGGGCCAAAGGTAGGCGCCAAACCACTGCGCCACCCAGGGATCCCAAGCATATTTTTAAATATAGCTTGACTTGAATTAATACAGTGTAATTATATTTTTCTTGAGGATGTTGTTAACTTTACATGGAAGGACTCATTAGTGAAAATGAATACGTATGTCATACCATATAACACCTTCACCATGCAAAGTTGCTAAAACAGTATGGAAAAAACCTCCTCAGGAAAATTTGATATAGCTTTCCTATGCTTTTCCAGACCTATTTTCAACACTGCTAAAAGGGGGGAAAATTCAAGAAGGCACTGAAGAGACCACCTCACCAGACCCTGATGTTACTTCTCCTCTGGATGTACATGCTGCAGCTCCATAGGAGCCAGGTTGGAAAAGTTTCTAGGAAAACGACATTTAATAACATCTTTTTAAGTAGAAAGATTTTTTTCTATGGCAGTTTGTCTTTTTAGACCCCAGAGTACATGAAAAAGTCTATACTTTTATTTTGAACTTAACATCTATTTCTTAATTGCTATTTAAAAAATATATCAGTGACAAACATCTGACTTCTCAAAAATATTTTTGAAATGTCGTAGTTTTAAAGCATGCAAAATTAGCTAATTAAAAACATCATGGTTCTGTTTTATACATACTCTAAAAAATAGCAAGCTGTTATTAATCCATTATACTAGAGTTTGAAGTTAAATTATTATAAAAAGGTATATCAACTTTGTCAAGCATTTCTGTATATACTATATAAATGGCAGTAGGTAGTTTCTATAAGTTCCCTTTTCTGTATCTCAAGCTCTATATTATTGCTCTTGACTCTTAGTGAAACTTTAAAAGTAATTAAATATTCATATAATGTTGTTAATTGTCTATACGTGGGAGGACTCCGAAGATACAGGTCAGTGAATTTGCAAAATGACCTTAAAAGGACATTAAAAAAAAAACTAACCTCAAAACCTTAATTTCAGATTTTGTATATTTTGAAAGATAATGAATCTCCACTCAGATTATTAAAATGCGTTGCAATAGAGAAGCATGGCAGTAATTCCATGAATACAAGTTGCACATTGTAATTGTAACTGGTGTATTTAAAAAAAAATTAGTTGCTTTGTAACCTTTTGGCTGAATCAAATGTAGTACTTTTCTTATCAGCTTAATATCTGGTATGTCCCCTATCTGAGGATAAAATATATAAATGGATTTTTGGAGCAGGGAGAAGAAATTAGTAGTTTGCTCCATCCACTGTCATCCATCGACCTGGTTATTTCAGTACTTCTGGGAATGATACACCTCTACACCACAAACACACAAACCATAGTCATGACTTTTAAAAGGTTATCACTTAGCAATAGTCAAAATACATGTAAATGAAGAATGAAAAACATCATTTAACTGGGGGACCATAATAAACTAAGTTAATTTGTCAATGAAAGATATAAGAAAATCAATAGTTATACCGTTGACAGTTTAATTCTGAAATGAAAAGTGCACAAAATATAGGAATTATCTTTGCATATGTATAAGAGCTAATGCTATAATAGTATATATTTACATGTCTGCTTAATCCAAGCGTGATACATTTGAAGTTTAAGACATATTTCTACTTGTTTATAATTCTCTCACCAACTTATTCACAGAAAAACGTACAGTAATCTATACTTGGTTTACAGGCTTTATCATATTTGCCTTATATTACAAAAATTATTTCAGGAAATTATGTTTTGCTGCTCTTATTCTTCTTTCCCTAGTATTTAGTTGTGAACTCCTTGATAGAAGTGATTGTACTTCAGTATATCATTGCTTCTGTCTCCTATGAGGTCTGATAAATTGATTTTAAAATATTTTATTGATAGAACTAAATGTACAGAGTCAGACATTAAAAAAAATGCTTGGGTGGGGTACCTGGGTGGCACAGTTGGTTAAGTGTCTGGCTCTTGATTTTGGCTCAGGTCATAATCTCAGGGGTTGTTAGATTGAGCCCCATATTGGGCTCCTCACTGGGCTGGCCATAGAGCCTGTTTAAGATTCTCTCTCCTCTTTCCCCTTTCCCTTACTTAAAAAAAAATGGCAAAAAAAAATTCTTGATAGATAAATAGGCATTGGTCCTAACACTGTATTTATTAATTTCAGATGCATTTATAAGTCCATCTGCCTAGTAACTATAAAGCGACTTTGGCATATGTGGCTACTGTCTTTTCTTAATGGCCTTAGCATATTGTTAGTTTGGACAGACTAGAATGGTGGTCCAGGTAGCATTTTTTCAAAATTCTAACTTTTTCATGTTGCATTGAGTAAACACTCAATGAGAATGAACTATTTAATTATCAGCCTACATAAAATAAGCAGCAATAAACATAACTCTACATCTGAAACTAATAATATACTATATGTTAGCCAGTTGAATACAAATGAAAAAATAAATATAATCCTAAAGTAAGGATAACATGGGGTTCCTTATTTCTTGTAAATGAGAACATTGTTGACAAATTTAGCTGCTCCAAGTTCTTTACAGTATGGATCAGCAAAACTGAAAAGAGGCAGCAATTATTAAGATAAAAATGAACCAAGAACAAAATTTTCTAACAGATTGAGATAGAGAAAAAACAACTTTATTAATCCTGTTAATAAATAATTTTAGCTGAAGTGTTAAACATATTTTTTTCAGTCAAGAAGAAAGGGTCATAAATAGATCAGATTTAGGCATTCATAGTGACGAGTGAAGTTGAGCAATAGCTCTGTGAATAACTGCTCCCAATAAATGAAGCAAATCTCTGGAGAGACTAAGAAAGGATTATAGTCCTTTAAAAACAGTCTGGAGAGTAAGAGATAATTTAGTTCAAAGGTCTCTTTTTGTCTCATAGTAGAGACTATCTGTGGGCATACATATATATGTGTGTATATGTGTGCATACACGTATACGTATGCATACATACATCATATTAAAAATCGTAGAGGAGAGATAGGCTAAGCAGCCTATTTTTCCTGGGGAATAAACTGTAAAATTTAACTATTAAATGAAAATAAAGGAGATAATAAAAAAAGAAAAGAAAGGAGATAATGACAAAAGTGAATTTCAGGTTTTGGAAATTATCATTGAAATGTAAGAAAGTGAGTTATGCAATTCATGATATGTATTCTCTAATATTAATAATGTTAATCTAATGCATCATCAGTTGTATTATATACATCAGCATATAAATATGCTGCCATATGTTCATCCCCCTTTAGGTACTACACATTTCTCTAAAAACAATTCATTGAAAAATTATATGTTGTCTTCATAATTTTTCTATGAAAGAGCTGTCTGCATTCCCCATGTTTTCTCACAAAATCATTCCAGTTAGACTAGTTGGACTTCTATCCAACTGTTTGCCAAAACAGCCCAACTCAATATCACCCATAATGCTCACATTGTCAAATCTAGAAGTCCATTTTCAGCCTTCATCATATTTGAGTTCTCAATAGCATTAATCATGTATAATAGCTACCTCTTTTTTGAAGCAATTATGTTGGTTGGTTTCTAAAACATCCCTCTGTTCTGCTTCTTTGCTTGCCTTTTCTATTTCCTTGGTTGATTTCTCCTCCAAGGATCAGTCATTTGATTTTTATATTGCCATTTACTCTCCATGTGGTTTTATTCAGCCTCAAGACTTTATATTAACTGAATCCTGAATATATGTTCCAGCCTAGATTTCTCTTCTGAACTCAGACTTCTATATCCAGAATTGTACATGCTCAACTTGGATGTTTATCAGGCATCTTATATAACATTTCCGAATCTGAACTCCTTATTAACCTACCTCAACCTGTTCCTTCCACAGTAATCACTGTTTGACAAAAGGGAGATTCCAGTATTCCAATAACTCTAGACAGAAACTTGGAGTTCTTTTTGACCTCACTTTTTCTCAAACTTTATAATATGTTCAATAGCAAATTTCTGTAGCTTTCCTTTAAAAGTATATTTAGAAATTTTTCTTTTAAAACAAATGTTTAATTTTATTTGTTTTTATTTAAATTCCAGTTGGTTAACATACAGTATAATATTAGTTTCTAGTTTCTATATAGTTTCTAAACTATAATATTAGTTTCAATAATATATTGATTCAACACTTCCATACAACACCCAGTGCTCATCACAACAAGTGCACTCATTTATCTCCATCACCTATTTAACCCATCCTCCAATTCACCTCCCTTCTGGTAACCATCAGTTTGTTTTTTGTAGTTAAGAGTCTGTTTCTTGATTGCCTTTTTAAACTGTTACTATTACCACTCTGGTCCTTGATAACATCACCTATCCCTTGGATTAATTCAATAGCCCTAAATAGATTTTGTGATTCCATATTTACCATATGCCCCAAGAGTCTGTTTTGCTTTATAGACCTGTGTTGTCCAGTATGGAGCCCCAGAGCTGATGCGTTCCCTGAAATGAAATAATTTTCACTTAACCTATATTTTCTGAATTGCACATCTGGACAAATTAAATGAGCAGCTAACTCCTATATGACCAAAGCTTATGAAAGTTGTGTAAGTCAGATACTGGAGTTAGGTTAGGTACATTCCTAGCCTGAAAAAATAAAAATATAGATGTGTATGATTTTGGTCAGAGCACTTAACAATTCCATATTTAGTTCTCATCTCTAAAATAACTAAAATAATATTACCTACTTTATAGATTTTTGAGGGTTAAGTAAAACGAAAAAAGATAAATCACTTAGTGCAGCACAAAAATACTTACAGATTTGTATTTATAATCAAATGATAAAAATATATTAATCTATAATTAATAAAATTGAGAGATTGACGTTGAGAACTTTAAGCATATCTTAAAGGCTACAGAAAAGTGAAGGAAGGTAAATTTGCAGTTATTTAAAACCATTATAATTCTGATGCACAGGAAATAATATCAACCCTCAAAATGTATATAGAGAAAAGGAAATATGGCAAAACTGCAGTAAATCAACATTTTCACAGGAAAATTCTTCATGTGATTTTAATGAATGAAGATCTATACATGTATTGGATAGAAGAATATTTTTCCATTTAAAACCATTTGAAAATAAGTACAAGAGCAAAACCTGGGATTTTCATTTGTATTTTGGTAAAATATACTTCATATGTTTCTTAAAATAGACATACTCATTTAAAAATTAGATTATTTTATGGAACAGTTGTTTTCATATGTACTTTTTGTGCTTTGTATGTCCTATAACTTATGAAGGACATTTTTTATTATTGCTTGTTAAAAAAAATAAATGTCACTATAACTACCACACCAAAGAAACTAAAACTTTTTTGTGGCTTTTCAGTCCATATTCTGTTATAGATCATATTTAACGGTGTAATTTTGGATATTTTGGATATTTTAAAATATACTTCAAATATTAGGGATCAGTGCATTCTTTAAGATTTGGAAAATGTAATAAATCTTATTGATGTTAGTTTGCTTCCCTGAAAGAAGAGATATCTTAAAAATAAATTAGTTTTATGTAAAAAGCAAACAAGCATTTAATATGTAATTATATTTTAATAAAGATCAATTAAATGAAATAATTTGATTTTCTAACATATATCTATGGTGGAAGGAAAGTATTAATAACTGGTTAGTCATCTTTTCTCTATCTTCAGACAGTCTCCTTGTACTACAAATTCAAGGAGTTTATAGGTATATACCAGATCCAAGGTAAATGAAAATCTGGCCAGGTTACTTTTTTTAAAATTTCATTTATTTATTCATGAGAGACAGAGAGAGAGAGAGAGACAGGCAGAGGGAGAAGCAGGCTCCATGCAGGGTGCCTGATGTGGGACTCGATCCCTTGTCTCTTTTCTTCCTTTTTAATGCTTTTATGTCATTAAAATTGTTACCTATTTTAGCCTATATCATTTATAATTAAACCCTATTAATTATAGAAATTTAATTCATATACTAGGCTGAAGGCAGTGCTAAACCGGGCTGCCCAAGGTTACTTTTCATTAAACCAAATACCTGTACCTACTTGTTGAGATGGCTTACTGGATGAGAACTAACTATATTGATAGATCAGAGAATCAGAACGAGGTGTAATAGCTTAAGGGACCCCAGTGCTAATTAGTTTCCTGAAATGAGGTTGTCTTCACACACCCTGTATTGTCTTTTTTGATTCCCTGTCCTGAATCCTGAGTGAGTGGGATCTTTGGAAGCCCTGCCTTTGAGTCTTCTGTGCTGTTGCCTATTTCTGTGTATAGAATTTGGTTGTGTTCCCTATATCCTTTCATAACACTAAACAAACATGGTGTTAGATGAAACTTTGGTGTT